AGAGAGACCAGAGAGAGAGACCAGAGAGAGACCAGAGAGAGACCAGAGAGAGACCAGAGAGAGACCAGAGAGAGACCACAAAGAGACCAGACAGAGACCAGAGAGAGACCACAAGGAGACCAGAGAGAGACCAGAGAGAGACCAGAGAGAGACCAGAGAGAGTGACCAGAGAGAGACCAGAGACATCAGAAAGACCAGAGACACCAGAGAGACCAGAGACACCAGAGAGACCAGAGACACCAGAGACACCAGAGAGACCAGAGACACCAGAGAGAGAACAGAGAGACCAGAGAGACCAGAGACACCAGAGACACCAGAGAGACCAGAGACACCAGAGACACCAGAGAGACCAGAGAGACCAGAGAGAGAACAGAGAGACCAGAGAGACCAGAGACACCAGAGACACCAGAGAGACCAGAGACACCAGAGAGACCAGAGAGACCAGAGAGAGACCAGAGAGAGAACAGAGAGATCAGACGGTTCCTACAGTGATGGTTCCTACAGTGATGGTTCCTACAGTGATGGTTCCTACAGTGATGGTTCCTACAGTGATGGTTCCTACAGTGTTGACCCACCGTGGTCCCCGCCGTGGTCTCGTGTGTCTTCTCTGAGTCAAGGCAGGACAGGGGCCGCAGGTTCATGGCCAGGCGGTCCACCCAGACCGGACTCCCGAAGTCGGGCAGCAGACTGGTCTCGTCGAAGGCCTCCAGTCCGTGCTCGGCCAGGGACTGGGGGAGGCTGGGGGTGCTGCTGGAGCGGGTGCTGGTGGAGGAGTTACGGTGCTCCATCTTCCCGGAGGAGGTGGAGGAGTTGTGTAGCCGCACCTGCCCTGGGGGCGGCTTGTGGCCTGGCGGGACGCGGAGGGAGCGCGAGGTGTGTTTGCGGGACAGGTATCCGCCCTCGGAGCTGCGGCAGAAGGCATGGCTCTGGCTCTCGGCGTTCCCCATGGTTCACAGCCTGACAGGGAAGGGCAGCGGCGTCAGACAGCTCCAGAGGGTTCACATCACACATTCACACGTTCACACGTTCACACGGTCACACGTTCACACGTTCACACGTTCACACGGTCACACGGTCACACGATCACACGTTCACACGTTCACACGATCACACGTTCACACGTTCACACGTTCACACGATCACACGTTCACACGGTCACACGGTCACACGATCACACGTTCACACGTTCACACGTTCACACGATCACACGTTCACACGTTCACACGTTCACACGATCACACGTTCACACGTTCACACGATCACACGTTCACACGTTCACACGTTCACACGTTCACACGTTCACACGTTCACACGGTCACACAATCACACGTTCACACGTTCACACGTTCACACGTTCACACGTTCACACGATCACACGTTCACACGTTCACACGGTCACACGTTCACACGATCACACGATCACACGTTCACACGTTCACACGATCACACGTTCACACGTTCACACGTTCACACGTTCACACGTTCACACGTTCACACGTTCACACGATCACACGTTCACACGATCACACGTTCACACGTTCACACGGTCACACGTTCACACGATCACACGTTCACACGTTCACACGTTCACACGATCACACGTTCACACGGTCACACGTTCACACGATCACACGTTCACACGTTCACACGATCACACGTTCACACGGTCACACGGTCACACGTTCACACGGTCACACGGTCACACGATCACACGATCACACGTTCACACGTTCACACGGTCACACGGTCACACGTTCACACGATCACACGTTCACACGTTCACACGGTCACACGATCACACGTTCACACGTTCACACGATCACACGTTCACACGGTCACACGTTCACACGTTCACACGATCACACGTTCACACGATCACACGTTCACACGATCACACGTTCACACGTTCACACGGTCACACGTTCACACAATCACACGTTCACACGTTCACACGTTCACACGTTCACACGTTCACACGTTCACACGGTCACACGGTCACACGGTCACACGGTCACACGATCACACGATCACACGTTCACACGTTCACACGGTCACACGTTCACACGTTCACACGTTCACACGTTCACACGTTCACACAATCACACGTTCACACGTTCACACGTTCACACGTTCACACGTTCACACGTTCACACCATCACACGTTCACACGATCACACGTTCACACGTTCACACGTTCACACAATCACACGTTCACACGTTCACACGATCACACGTTCACACGTTCACACGTTCACACGTTCACACGTTCACACAATCACACGTTCACACGTTCACACGTTCACACAATCACACGTTCACACGTTCACACGGTCACACGTTCACACGTTCACACGTTCACACGTTCACACGTTCACACGTTCACACGATCACACGTTCACACGTTCACACAATCACACGTTCACACGTTCACACAATCACACGTTCACACGTTCACACGGTCACACGTTCACACGTTCACACGTTCACACGTTCACACGTTCACACAATCACACGTTCACACAATCACACGTTCACACGTTCACACAATCACACGTTCACACGTTCACACGTTCACACGTTCACACGTTCACACAATCACACGTTCACACGATCACACGTTCACACGTTCACACGTTCACACGTTCACACGTTCACACAATCACACGTTCACACGTTCACACGATCACACGTTCACACGTTCACACGTTCACACGTTCACACAATCACACGTTCACACGTTCACACGTTCACACAATCACACGTTCACACGTTCACACGATCACACGTTCACACGTTCACACGTTCACACAATCACACGTTCACACGTTCACACGTTCACACAATCACACGTTCACACGTTCACACGTTCACACGTTCACACGGTCACACGTTCACACGTTCACACGTTCACACAATCACACGTTCACACGATCACACGTTCACACGTTCACACGTTCACACGTTCACACAATCACACGTTCACACGTTCACACGATCACACGTTCACACGTTCACACGTTCACACAATCACACGTTCACACGTTCACACGTTCACACAATCACACGTTCACACGGTCACACGTTCACACGTTCACACGTTCACACGATCACACGTTCACACGATCACACGTTCACACGTTCACACAATCACACGTTCACACGTTCACACAATCACACGTTCACACGTTCACACGGTCACACGTTCACACGTTCACACGTTCACACGTTCACACGTTCACACTATCACACGTTCACACGTTCACACAATCACACGTTCACACGTTCACACGTTCACACGTTCACACAATCACACGTTCACACGATCACACGTTCACACGTTCACACGTTCACACGTTCACACGTTCACACGTTCACACGTTCACACAATCACACGTTCACACGTTCACACGTTCACACGTTCACACAATCACACGTTCACACGTTCACACGTTCACACGATCACACGTTCACACGTTCACACGTTCACACGATCACACGTTCACACGTTCACACGTTCACACAATCACACGTTCACACGTTCACACGGTCACACGTTCACACGTTCACACGTTCACACGTTCACACGATCACACGTTCACACGATCACACGTTCACACGTTCACACAATCACACGTTCACACGTTCACACAATCACACGTTCACACGTTCACACGGTCACACGTTCACACGTTCACACGTTCACACGTTCACACGATCACACGTTCACACGTTCACACGTTCACACAATCACACGTTCACACGTTCACACGTTCACACGTTCACACGTTCACACGTTCACACGTTCACACGATCACACGTTCACACGTTCACACGTTCACACGTTCACACGTTCACACGGTCACACGTTCACACGTTCACACGTTCACACGATCACACGTTCACACGTTCACACAATCACACGTTCACACGTTCACACGATCACACGTTCACACGATCACACGTTCACACGTTCACACGATCACACGTTCACACGTTCACACGTTCACACGTTCACACGGTCACACGTTCACACGTTCACACGTTCACATGATCACACGTTCACACGATCACACGTTCACACGTTCACACGTTCACACGATCACACGATCACACGTTCACACGTTCACACGATCACACGTTCACACGTTCACACGGTCACACGGTCACACGTTCACACGTTCACACGATCACACGTTCACACAATCACACGGCCACACAATCACACGGTCACAAAATCACACGTTCAAACGTTCACACGGTCACACAATCACACGGTCACACAATCACACGGTCACACAATCACACGGTCACACAATCACAAGGTCACACAATCACACGTTCACACAATCACACGGTCACGCGGTCACACAATCACACGTCACACGTTCACACGTTCACACAATCACACAGTCACACAATCACACGGTCACGCGGTCGCACAATCACACGGTCACACAATCACACGGTCACACAATCACACGGTCACATGTTCACACGGTCACACAATCACACGGTCACACAATCACACGTTCACACAATCACACGGTCACACAATCACACAATCACACAACCACACGTTCAAACGTTCACACGGTCACACAATCACACGGTCACACAATCACACGGTCACACAATCACACGGTCACACAATCACACGTTCACACACTCACACGTTCACACAATCTCACGTTCACACCTTCACACTTTCACACAATCACACGGTCACACGTTCACACGGTCACACAATCACACGGTCACACGTTCACACAATCACACGGTCACATATTCATACAATCACACGGTCACACAATCACACGTTCACACAATCACACGGTCACACAATCACACGGTCACACGTTCACACGGTCACACAATCACACGGTCACACGTTCACACAATCACACGTTCATACAATCACACGGTCACACAATCACACGTTCACACAATCACACGGTCACACGTTCACACGGTCACACAATCACACGGTCACACAATCACACGGTCACACGTTCACACGGTCACACAATCACACGTTCACACAATCACACGTTCACACAATCACACGGTCACACGTTCACACAATCACACGTTCACACAATCACGCGGTCACACAATCACACGGTCACACAATCACACGTTCACACAATCACACGTTCACACAATCACACGGTCACACAATCACACGGTCACACAATCACACATTCACACAATCACACGGTCACACAATCACACGGTCACACAATCACACGTTCACACAATCACACGGTCACACAATCACATGGTCACACAATCAGACGGTCACACAATCACACGGTCACACAATCACACGGTCACACGTTCACACAATCACACAATCACACGGTCACACAATCACACGGTCACACAATCACACGGTCACACAATCACACGGTCACACAATCACATGGTCACACAATCACACGTTCACACAATCACACGGTCACACAATCACATGGTCACACAATCAGACGGTCACACAATCACACGGTCACACAATCACATGGTCACACAATCACATGGTCACACAATCACACGGTCACACAATCACACGGTCACACAATCACATGGTCACACAATCAGACGGTCACACAATCACACGGTCACACAATCACACGGTCACACAATCACACGGTCACACGTTCACACGGTCACACAATCACACGGTCACACAATCACACGGTCACACGTTCACACGGTCACACAATCACACGTTCACACAATCACACGTTCACACAATCACACGGTCACACGTTCACACAATCACACGTTCACACAATCACGCGGTCACACAATCACACGGTCACACAATCACACGTTCACACAATCACACGTTCACACAATCACACGGTCACACAATCACACGGTCACACAATCACACATTCACACAATCACACGGTCACACAATCACACGGTCACACAATCACACGTTCACACAATCACACGGTCACACAATCACATGGTCACACAATCAGACGGTCACACAATCACACGGTCACACAATCACACGGTCACACGGTCACACGGTCACACGTTCACACAATCACACAATCACACGGTCACACAATCACACGGTCACACAATCACACGGTCACACAATCACACGGTCACACAATCACATGGTCACACAATCACACGTTCACACAATCACACGGTCACACAATCACATGGTCACACAATCAGACGGTCACACAATCACACGGTCACACAATCACATGGTCACACAATCACATGGTCACACAATCACACGGTCACACAATCACACGGTCACACAATCACACGGTCACACAATCACACGGTCACACAATCACACGGTCACACAATCACACGGTCACACGTTCACAGAACACAGAGTACATTTCTCACAGATTGATCAGATGAGACTCAGATCTATCAGTGAGGTCAGTGTTTCTCAACCAGTGGGCCGGGGCACCTGAGCTGACTTTATATAACAGCAGTATGTGTTCACGGAGACTTTATATAACAGCAGTATGTGTTCACGGTGACTTTATATAACAGCAGTATGTGTTCACGGAGGTGACTTTATATAACAGCAGTATGTGTTCACTGTGACTTTATATAACAGCAGTATGTGTTCACGGAGGTGACTTTATATAACAGTAGTATGTGTTCACGGAGGTGACTTTATATAACAGCAGTATGTGTTCACGGAGGTGACATTATATAACAGCAGTATGTGTTCACGGAGGTGACTTTATATAACAGCAGTATGTGTTCACAGAGGTGACTTTATATAACAGCAGTATGTGTTCACGGAGGTGACTTTATATAACAGCAGTATGTGTTCACGGAGGTGACTTTATATAACAGCAGTATGTGTTCACGGAGGTGACTTTATATAACAGCAGTATGTGTTCACGGAGGTGACTTTATATAACAGCAGTATGTGTTCACGGAGGTGACTTTATATAACAGTAGTATGTGTTCACGGAGGTGACTTTATATAACAGCAGTATGTGTTCATGGAGGTGACTTTATATAACAGCAGTATGTGTTCACGGAGGTGACTTTATATAACAGCAGTATGTGTTCACGGAGGTGACTTTATATAACAGCAGTATGTGTTCACGGTGACTTTATATAACAGCAGTATGTGTTCACGGAGGTGACTTTATATAACAGCAGTATGTGTTCACGGAGGTGACTTTATATAACAGCAGTATGTGTTCACGGTGACTTTATATAACAGCAGTATGTGTTCACGGAGGTGACTTTATATAACAGTAGTATGTGTTCACGGAGGTGACTTTATATAACAGCAGTATGTGTTCACGGAGGTGACTTTATATAACAGTAGTATGTGTTCACGGAGGTGACTTTATATAACAGTAGTATGTGTTCACGGAGGTGACTTTATATAACAGTAGTATGTGTTCACAGTGACTTTATATAACAGCAGTATGTGTTCACGGAGGTGACTTTATATAACAGCAGTATGTGTTCACGGAGGTGACTTTATATAACAGCAGTATGTGTTCACGGAGGTGACTTTATATAACAGCAGTATGTGTTCACGGAGGTGACTTTATATAACAGCAGTATGTGTTCACGGAGGTGACTTTATATAACAGCAGTATGTGTTCACGGAGGTGACTTTATATAACAGCAGTATGTGTTCACGGAGGTGACTTTATATAACAGCAGTATGTGTTCACGGAGGTGACTTTATATAACAGCAGTATGTGTTCACAGAGGTGACTTTATATAACAGCAGTATGTGTTCACGGAGGTGACTTTATATAACAGTAGTATGTGTTCACGGAGGTGACTTTATATAACAGCAGTATGTGTTCACAGAGGTGACTTTATATAACAGCAGTATGTGTTCACAGAGGTGACTTTATATAACAGCAGTATGTGTTCACGGAGGTGACTTTATATAACAGCAGTATGTGTTCATGGAGGTGACTTTATATAACAGCAGTATGTGTTCACGGAGACTTTATATAACAGTAGTATGTGTTCACGGAGGTGACTTTATATAACAGCAGTATGTGTTCACGTAGGTGACTTTATATAACAGCAGTATGTGTTCACGGAGGTGACTTTATATAACAGCAGTATGTGTTCACGGAGGTGACTTTATATAACAGCAGTATGTGTTCACAGTGACTTTATATAACAGCAGTATGTGTTCACGGAGGTGCGTCATACGTTTATTTTATTATTGAACGGTACTTCTGCATCGGCGAACACACGGTCCTTCTGAGAGAGGACAGGAGGAGGACACAGGAGGAGGAGACAGGAGGAGGAGACAGGAGGAGGACACAGGAAGAGGACACAGGAGGAGGAGACAGGGGGAGGGCACAGGAGGAGGACACAGGAGGAGGAGACAGGAGGAGGGCACAGGAGGAGGACACAGGAGGAGTAGACAGGAGGAGGACACAGGAGGAGGACACAGGAGGAGGACACAGGAGGAGGAGACAGGAGGAGGAGACAGGAGGAGGAGACAAGAGGAGGAGACAGGAGGAGGAGACAGGAGGAAGAGACAGGAGGAGGACACAGGAGGAGGAGACAGGAGGAGGACACAGGAGGAGGAGACAGGAGGAGGAGACAGGAGGAGGACACAGGAGGAGGACACAGGAAGAGTACACAGGAGGAGGACACAGGGGGAGGACACAGGAGGAGGAGACAGGAGGAGGGCACAGGAGGAGGACACAGGAGGAGACAGGAGGAGGAGACAGGAGGAGGACACAGGAGGAGGAGACACGAGGAGGAGACAGGAGGAGGAGACAGGTGGAAGAGACAGGAGGAGGACACAGGAGGAGGAGACAGGAGGAGGACACAGGAGGAGGAGACAGGAGGAGGAGACAGGAGGAGGACACAGGAGGAGGACACAGGAGGAGGACACAGGAGGAGGAGACGGGAGGAGGACACAGAAGGAGGAGACAGGAGGAGGACACAGGAGGAGGACACAGGAGGAGGAGACAGGAGGAGGACACAGGAGGAGGACACAGGAGGAGGACACAGGAGGAGGAGACAGGAGGAAGAGACAGGAGGAGGAGACAGGAGGAGGACACAGCAGGAGGACACAGGAGGAGGAGACAGGACGAGGACACAGGAGGAGGAGACAGGAGGAGGAGACAGGAGGAGGAGACAGGAGGAGGACACAGGAGGAGCCCACCTGCAGAACGATGTGAGGAGCATCGTCACTGAATCCTCAGACTGTCAGGATCTGAAACACATGAGAAAAAGTTTATGCCAGA